AGGAGGAACTAAAAAATAAGTAGTTAAAAAAGAGCTTTTTAAAAGTGCAGAATTTTGGCAGGTACAAAAAAATAATGTCTATCTACTCCTATTAATTTATATAATACTAATAAACATAATTAAATATATATATTGTAATGATATCACACAACTATACCAATTTATTTTTATTTATATGTTTTTTTTTTGATCTCAGGGATGCTTCAAATTATAATATTAATATTTTTTTAATTTAATTTGATTTAATTTTGTTAATTTTATTTTTAATTTATTTTTATTAATACTTTCTTAATTTGATTTTATTTTTATTTTTATTTTATTTGTCAATAATCAATAAAATAAAAAATAAAACTTATGACTTAACTATCTTTATACCCTGTATATTCAAATAAAATAAATAAATAAACAAATTTTCAAATCCAGAATACAACATTTATTTATAGATACATTATTCCCAACCTTAAAATTACAAATTGACAAATATACCCCACTATTTACATTGATGGGGATGACCATAAACTATAGTACTTAATCTACACTAACTACATTCACTCTTCATTCACACAACTATACTATATATATACAAAAAAATATCTAATGGCAATGTCTTTTCTCGCACAATTAATAATTGATCTAATCGAAAATTAGTTCATATAAGTTACTCACTGTTGTAATTGTAATAATTTTAAAGAATTTTATTTTTTATCAGAAAGAGCGTATTTTAAATAGTACATTAAAAAACAAAAATTTGCGGTAAATGCATTATTTAAGCCAAAAAAAATTATTTAATTTCCATAAAAATCAGCATTTTGACGACTGTAAACATGGAAACTCGATGGTTTCTGTCAAATTTAGAAAATATAATTACAACGTTGCCGGATTGTGATAAAATTAGTAGTTAATGGAAAATTGTGATTGTGCATACCGATCCATAAATATGCAACAAGAAAACGAAGCCGCCACACTACGATAAGTCGTAGAGTGGCGGCTTCGCCGACACCAAAAAACATTAACCCATACCTGGCTACGCCGACCGGCACAGACTCCAACGGCCTAGACACAGCTCAAATTGAATTGAAAACGTAAACTTTTTTACCTAATTTCTTGCGATTGTGCATACCAGTCCATAAACATGCAACAAGAAAACGAAAACAAAGTCGTAGAGTGGCGGCTTTGCCGCCACCAAAAAACATCAACCCATACCTGGCTACGCCGACCGGCATAGACTCCAACGGCCTGGACACAGCTCAAATTGAATAATTAAAATAAAAAGTCTCATATAAACACATTTATATTCTGGTTTTATCGTTTGGCTTGGAGCTATTGAAAAAACAGCCACTGTCATTCCTGTTATGTACGTTCTTTTCCTATGTGTGACAACTCCACATTTATAGAAATAAAAATATCAGTTGTCATATTATTCATAAAAAATAATATAGAACGGTATTACCATAAATATATTTATTTACAACAAATAACAAAAATCAATTGACAACATCGCTAAAATCACGCACAGGCGCTCTTAGTGTAACTCTAAATAATTAAAAACAATATGGCTACGTGAGATTGTAGTGAATAAATGCATTTTCTTAATTTTTTAGCTTACAAATGTGTTTTAATAATATTTGTTACTTTAATTAGGTTAGTACACACTTATAGAAGATTAAAAATATTATGGTTTTACTTAATCTTTATGGAAAAAGTGACAAAATTACTGGACCTAATATCGACCATAGCCAAGTATTTTAATTAACTTCGCTTTATCTGTCCTCTGCTGATTTCTTCTATGTACATCTCTCCGGAACACCATTATGAATGTTTTTTCACAACCATTTTGTATCATGTACTTTATTATTTTTAACTATTTATATGTTTGGTTAGAATAATTTGTTCATTTAATATGTCTTATATATCAGTTCTATAATTCTTTTTCCATATTTTAAAAATAAATGGTTTCTACAAAATTTTTTTGGCATCTATCTTTTTAAAATTGACATTCAACAACCATCTAGAAACCATCCTTTCTACCTTCTCAAATTCTCCTTTGCTTATGACTTTTCATATAAATTTTTAATATACAGGGTTGTAACATTATTTTTTTATTTATTACTATTATTTTTATTATTATTATTATTATTATTATTATTATTATTATTATTATTATTATTATTATTATTATTATTATTATTATTATTATTATTATTATTATTATTATTATTATTATTATTATTATTATTATTATTATTATTATTATTATTATTATTATTATTATTATTATTATTATTATTATTATTATTATTATTATTATTATTATTATTATTATTATTATTATTATTATTATTATTATTATTATTATTATTATTATTATTATTATTATTATTATTATTATTATTATTATTATTATTATTATTATTATTATTATTATTATTATTATTATTATTATTATTATTATTATTATTATTATTATTATTATTATTATTATTATTATTATTATTATTATTATTATTATTATTATTATTATTATTATTATTATTATTATTATTATTATTATTATTATTATTATTATTATTATTATTATTATTATTATTATTATTATTATTATTATTATTATTATTATTATTATTATTATTATTATTATTATTAGTATTAATATTATAGTTATTATTATTAGATTATTATTATATATAGTTATATATAGGGTGTTTTCATTACAATATATATTTTTTTAATTACTTTTCATTATTATGTTATAAACTTTTAAGAATTTAGCAACCCTTTGTGTATAATTCAAGACATTACCGTAATAATTGATTTTTGTAGTACTTAAAAAGAAGCGCTTTGCATTCTGAAGCTGAGCCAGGCGCTTCAAATAGAACTTCAAATAACGAATCTATCCTAGAAAGCCCCAGCATAAAACGGCTTAGAAGACAACTTTTACAAAAGAATAAAGAAAAAAACAAGACAAATCACAGTTCTTAAACCAAAACTTAAAAGATATAAAAGAGTTCTTCGCTAAAACTTCTTGTTATTGTACCAAATTAGTATTAGTTAGTTAAGGGTCAGTAATAAATTTATCTTCAGTTATGTATAATTTTTCTTACTAGCTTAATTTAATATTATCTAGAGAGCACACTACATCTTAAAGACGTCCAGTTCATGCCTTACTTTCGTCAAAACGTCCTGGTACGTAAACGTCTTTGTTATGATGTTTTTAAGACGTTTTAAATGTATCGGTAAGGTGAACGTTCATCTCTTTTCACTATATTTGAATATGGCGTCACAACAGCGTTCTTTGCGTTGCCTGCAGCGCATTTAGCTCGTCATTCGTCATTGTCATTGGCTGATTGGAGTCTCGCGCACGCATATCGAGTAGTATTCTTCCTCTAGCTGCCTTCTTTTTACGACATTCATTGTATAATATTTTCAGAGTCAGTCTGTGGACATTGTTATTACTTTTTTGTGGTTGTGTGTTTTTTTTTATATATATTGTCATTTTATATTATTTATTTGCCATTATTTGAACTGTAGTATACCAGAACTAGTAAACTTTATCATTGAAAACGGTAAGTTTGAACTTATTTGCCTTTTAATTTCATAACCTCAATTTAATAATGTGTTACACGTTAGTTTAGTGTAATTAAGTTATTAGACCCTAAGGTATACTAGCGAGTAGAACTTTAGTTTTTAAGATTGCAACCCTAGTTAAGTTAGGTTATAACAAAATTACTCATTGATCAACTCTTGATTAGATTGTAAACGTTGTTTTTGGAGTGTGTTTTTACAAAAAAAAAATTGTTCAAGTATAGCACTATTATTAATATCACCTATAAGCGTCTTGTATTATGCCTACCCCATTCAGGTGTATTGTTTTTAAAATAGCACAAAATATATAAATTAATTAAAACTATCGAAAGCAATATGTCCCAAAAGGTCACCTAATAACAAAACCGATACCTAGAATAATGTTGGTATATTTAGTTATTTAAAAGTTGTGAATTGCATTTTGAACAAACGCTTGTAAGTTAGGTTCTGCTAATCAGAATTTTGCAAATTTGATTTTGTTGAAAACGGCCTTTCTCCACTAATTTATTATTTTTATGATCAGAGGCAATAACTTGATATAACGAGTTTTAGTAACTTTACATACAGTGAGCACCATAAGTCCCCCCTATCTAACTCATTACTGGAGTCTTGTTAGGAAAATTGCCGAGACAGGTCGATTTTTGATTTCTACAATGTACATTTTTGTATGATTAGTTTACCCTTAATTTCATCCCTTACTGAAGGGGAGCAACCCTTTCGAAAAATTTAAATGGCATGGGGTGGTGAGTGATAGCTCATTTGAAAAGGGGGTTTATTCTCTATTCAACCGTGCAAAAAAATTTGAAATTTGCTTTAATACGTGTTGATTTATTAATGTTTAAAAATAACAAAACCTCACAAAATAGGAAACAACTAAACTAACAGTGACCTTCTAATGGCAAAAAGTCTTACTTCACGTCTGAACCAAAACCGAAATCATGCAGGGCCGAATTTTAATTCTAAGCATGAGTGCGCTACGTTAATTTCCGTTATTCTGAAACAACAATTAGTCGAGAATTAATTAAGCAAATTTCAAAATTTTTACACGGTTGAATAGAGAATAAAACTCTCTTTCAAATAAGCTATCACTCACCACCCCATGCCATTTAAATTTTTCTAAAGGGTTGCTACCCTCCAGTAAGGGATGCAATTAAGGGTAAACTATTCATACAAAAATGTACAATGTAGAAAACAAAAATTGACGTGTCTCGGCGATTTTCCTAACAAGACTCCAGTAACGAGTTAGATAGGGGGGTAAAACTTTTGGTGCTCACTGTATATATCAACTTATCGCTTCGTCTACAATGTAGACTTCTGTCTTATTAGGTTTGGGCATGCTTTGTATCTCTGTTATTTTTGGGAATTCGACTTATTAAATCATAATATCTTGTAGATCTTACGGAGATAAAAACTATAAATAAGATAAAAAAGTAATTTTCGTTATTAATTAAATAAATTTTTATTAAATGTAGACAGGTTATTTAAGTATGTTAGGATCTGGAGCTGGTATTTTAACGTATTTTAAACAACATTTCAGAAGTTCTATAGCTGCTTCTTCTGGAGTAGTTCCCTCCTTTCGATTTGCACAATTATCCATAACTAAGTTAGTTTTGTCCTCTGTGTAGAACAGATCTAAACTCGCTCTTAAACCTTTCAAATTTATATCTCCATTATCGTTTTGAATGTTATATTTCTTGTGCAAACACAACAAGTAAGGTCCATCAATTGGGCCAGCTTCTTTAGCACCTGTAAGTACCATAGCTATTTGTTTTGGATCTGCACTTGTAGCATTTTGACACTCATAATGAAAGTTGTGATATTCTATGTTTGAGGATTTCATTGTCCCGTTTGCCTGCAAAGCCATATACAAATAAATTAATGCAAATTATTATTTTCGAATACATCTATTAAAGTTTAGGAAAAGGAAATTTTTTTTTTTATATTTTCTAACATTACTGGGTTTTACCGGGCCAATGTATACAGGGTGTCTGTAAAAGGTCTTCACAAAAAGATACCACATATTCCTTAGACCAAAATAAGTCGATTTAAGTAAAATTACCTTAGTACAAAGTTGCTTCGTTTGGGCTCCAGAGGGCCTTGAAGTTATAATTTTTAAATCGTTTTTCCCATACAAATTTAAAACTACATATGCGATTTTGCTTAAATTTGGTATATTGGTAGAGTTTTATGTGGCAAAAAAAATGGTATTAAAATTTTGTCCGATAATAATACATAGGCGTAGAACTTGATTATTTAAATAATTGCACCTTTAAAAATTATACGCCAATTAAAGAAAAGGAGTTTGAGTATGAAATTAAGATTGCGCAACTCAGTTACTTTAAAAAAGATACTCTTGATAAGACTCGATTACTCTCATGGTTTTGACGAAATTTGCATTTTAGTAATTTTAGAACATAAACAATAATTATTAAAATACAAACTTTGTCAAAACCATGAGAGTAAATCGAGTGTTATCAAGGGTACTTTTTTGTAGTATATGAGTACCCAATCCAAATTTCATACTCAAACCCCTTTTTTGCCATTGGCGTAGAATTTTTAATGGTGCAATTATTTAAAAAATCAAGTTCTACGCCTATGTATTATTATCGGACAAAATTTTATACGATGAAAAACATAAAAATGTACTTTTTTTATATCTTCTTCAACACCTCGAATCGAGACTTTTAACAAAAATACTCGATTCTTGCCATGTACGATTTTTTGAGGAATATTAATTATTTGCCTGCAATACGTATACAAAAACATTTATTGTTGGTTTCCATAGTTTCATCTAAATAAAAATATTGTCAAGTTTTAACACCTAATCTCTTGTTAACGATTGAAAGTGTTCTATCTGACTCAATAATTAAAAAAACAAATGCGTGGTTTATTAATATGGCTGTAAAATATACCAATGCAGAATATACCGATAAGTTACTGACATTAAGATTTTCTGAAGGAAATGCTCGAGAGAGTATCAGGGTGTACTTTGAAAGGTTTCCAAATCGTCGTGTACCTAGCCACCCAACTTTTGCTGCTGTTGAGAGACGTCTTCGGGAGACCGGTTCCTTTGCTCCCAACACTGTTCATAATGGAAGAGAACGTTTTGTAAGGATTCCTGAAGTTGAAGAAGACATTTTAGAACGCGTTGAAGAAGATTTAGAATTAAGCACCAGACGAATTGGAAGGGAAATAGGAGTAAGTAAAGATGTCGTTCATAAAGTGCTTAGAGAACAATTGCTATATCCATACCATAAGAAGCCAGTACAAGAATTATTAGTCCATGATCCTCAAATTCGTTTGGGTTTTTGTCGATTTGTTAATATGCAAAGAGAAAGAGATTAACTGGAGAAAATTATTTGGATTTTCTACAAAATACGTTGCCAGATTTGTTAGAAGATTTACCTGTCAAACTTCGGAGAGATATGTGGTTTATGCAAGATGGAGCTCCACAACATTTTTCTTTCAACGTTAGAAACCACTTGAATGAACAATATCCACACAAATGGATAGGCAGAGGTAATGACGCACCTGCATGCTGGCCATCATGTTCCTCAGAACTAACATCGATGGATTACTTTTTATGGGGACATCTGAAATTCACAGTTTACAGGGAACCTGTAGAAAATGAGGAACAAATCTGGCAACGTATTCAAGATGCAATAAACAATCTTAGAGGTGATGAAGAAGTTATGGAAAGGATAAATTTTAATTTTATTCGACGTATAAATCTTTGTATGCGTGAAAATGGTGAACATTTTGAACAATTTTTGTAAAATCTCTATTTTGATTATGTTGTAAATAAATATTTTTGTGAAATCTATACACTCTAAATTATTAAAACAGAAATTTAGCGAAAGCCATGAGAGTAATCGAGTCTTATCAGATGTACCTTTTTTAAAGTAAATGAGTTGTTCAATCTAAATTTCATACTCAAACTCCTTTTCTTCCATTGGCGTAGAATTTTTAAAATTGCAATTATTTAAAAAATCAAGTTCTACGCCTATGTATTATTATCGGACAAAATTTTATTACCATTTTTTGCCACATAAAATATACCAAATTTCAGCAAAATCGCATATGCCGTTTTAAATTTATATGGGAAAAACGATTTAAAAATTGTAACTTCAAGGCCTTCTGGAGCCCAAATGAAGTAACTTTGTACTAAGGTAATTTTACTTAAATCGACTTATTTTGGTCCAAGTAATATGTGGTATGTTTTTGTAAGACCTTTTACAGACACCCTGTATAATCAAAAAATCACAATATTAAATTTGCTTCAGAAATAATACATTAGTTTGTGTAGTAAGAATAAATAATAAAATAAACTTAAAAAAAGATTTAATTCAATTAGTCTCCAATCCTAGAATTGCCTAACAACCAAATTTCCTAGTTTCTGCTCCATCGCCACACATAATATTTTAGTTTTAATACTCTTAATCGATTTCATGAAGTAAAATTATTAAAATTTATGGTTTATTTGTAAATATAGATAAAATAAAAATAGAAATATGTTAAGTAATTAGTTATCTTGTTATGTTTTGTGCTGTATAAGTACATAGTACCGAAAGGCGCCTAAATCAAAGGAAGAATGTTAAAATTGCTCCATGGGTGACAAATGACCTGCTTAACTCGGTTAATGAAAAAAATAAAAAATAAAATGTTTCGCAATATACAAAAATATCCAAATAATATTAAACTATTACGAGAATATAAAATCTCGTTAATAAATAAGGTTAAGTATAATTATTATAACCAGCAAATTGATACAAATAAAAATAACTCTGAAGACCTATAGAGTGTAATACAGGACATTAGTAAATCGAAGGTTAAGAAAAAAGAAATTGATATAATTAAAAACGGTTTGGGTAGTCCATTGACAGACAAATATGAAATAGCTAATGAATTCAATAACACCTATGCCAATATAGGTAAGTAAGTAAGAGTGGATGGAGTTTGCAATAGTTTGCAAGCTATGGAATATGGGGTACTGACTAATATTAATATATAATAAAATAGAAAATGATAGTTTTAAATTGTACTTAATAGATTTTTTTTAGTAAGTATGAAATTTCGAAATCGATTCTATATTTTTTATTTAATCCTTTAAAAATGTTTACAGTGTTGAAGTCGGCTTTCCTTTTGTTAAAGTGAATAATAAAAATAGTGATATAGGTCGTATTGTATATACAAAGAAAAAATGCAACTTACCACTATAGCAAAAATGGCTATACAAAGGAATATTTCGGTCGCTAGTTTCATGTTTGCTGATACACTAATAACATTAATCATTCACATTACTATTTAAAAAGTATATAATCTTAATTAACAAGCGTCTGTTAAAGGTCAAGATTTCTTTCATATTTTCTTTTTTGGAGGAAATTAAAACAACAAAAACTTACAAAATAAAAATGTGTTATCAACGATCATCTTGTCAGTCGATTTCAGAGCAATAAGTAAAATATCAAAACGTACAAAAACAACTTAATAAAAATAATATCATAATTTTTAATCTAGGATACAAAACAGGTGACTTACATACAACTGAACAATTAAATAAAGTCCTAAAATTAAAAATTAAAAAACACCACATCAATAATAATATATTTTATAGGAAAAAAGGACCCCGCAATAATCTTATGGAAATTGGGTTCCTGTCAAATTGTCTGAATTTTTTATATGTTGTAGATTTTGTCATCCTGAACAAAAGTCTCCATGGACACAGCTACGGAGCTACGGAGCTACGGAGCTGCCAAAGCTCCCCTGACCCGTTGCAAAACTATTCATTTTCAATACTATTTACAGATGTCAAAAGCATATTTTAATTATTCCAAAATATAGGGTAATGTTTTTGGGGTCACTGGATTCAACCCTCATGTCACATTGGACAAATTGACCGTTGACAGCTGTCAATTCACTGTCAACAAGGATTATAAAAATAAATATCCTCTTTTCACATTGAGAGTTTGGGTTTTTAAGGTCGCTGAAGTCAATTTTCATGTCAAATTGGACAAATTAACAGTTGACAGGTGTCAATTGACTGTCAACGAGAAATATAAAAGTAAATATCCTCTTTTCACATTAAAAGTTTGGGTTTCTGAGGTCGCTGAAGTCAATTCTCATGTCAGATTAGACAAATTGACAGTTGACAGCTGTCAATTGACTGTCAACGAGAAATATAAAAGTATATATACTCTTTTTACATTGAAAGTTTGGGCTTTTGAGGTCGCTGAAGTCAATTCTTATGTCACATTGGACAAATTGACAGTTCACATCTGTCAATTGACTGTCAACGAGAAATATAAAAGCAAGTATCTTCTTTAAACATTAAGAGTTTGTGTTTTTGAGGTCGCTGAAGTCAATTATCATGTCAGATTGGACAAATTGACAGTTGACAGCTGTCAATAGATCTTTCAACGAGAAATATAAAAGTAAATATCCTCTTTTTACATTGTGAGTTTGGGTTTTTGAGGTCTCTGAAGTCAATTCTCATGTCAGATTGGACAAATTGACAGTTGACAGCTTTCAATTCACGGTCAACGAGGAATATAAAAGTAAATATCCTCTTTTCGCTGTCAACTATCAATTTGTTCAATCTGACATAAGAATTGAATTCAGCGACCTCAAAAACTCACACTCTCAATGTGAAAAGAGGATATTTACTTTTATATTCCTCGTTGACCGTGAATTGACAGCTGTCAACGGCCAATTTATCATATCTGACATGAGGATTGCATCCACTGACTTTAAAAACATTACCCTATATATTAGAATAATTAAAATATGCTTTTGACATCTGTAAATACTGGGTCTTCAACAATACCGAAAACTCACGTGACCAAATCGTCATGACAGCGATTGGTGAAAACAAAAGTGAAAATCCCTAGATGTGAGCCAGTGCCGTAGGTATTTTATTACAAAATAGATCTTCTTCTTTTTTTATGGTCTGCAACTATGAGAACAAAATTTAGTTAGGTAACAGTTAGAATTACAACACAAAATCATAATATTAATAATTAGAGGTGCTTTACATTATTGTATTTTAATGTTAGAATTTGATATTTTAATTAGATTTAGTCAAATGCAATAATCTAACTTTTAAAATTATGATATATTTAACATAACCTTAAAAACTGAGCTATTTATAGAAAAAAATTATAAACTGAAACATGGTTCGTACTAGTTGTTGCTACTATTACGAAAAAAAACCTTTACCAGAACGTTATGGACAAAAAATGTTATACATTAAAATATGAATAATATTAAAAATTATTTACTTTAGATTGACTCTAAGCTATTTAGCTACAGCTGAAACTTTAAATACGATTGGCAGGAGACTGGCAATATTTGGCAATTATTGCAGTTTAAGTAAACAAATTTAAAACTTACTAGAATTGTACCTGGGCAATGGGAAATAATAAATATTTTTTGAAGTGTGTCCTATTATTTATTTGTTACAGGGTTTAAACCATTTACAAGATATATTATGTTACTTATATGTATACAAAAAATTATTAATATTATTAATGTAGCAAGAACACATTTGTTTTACCTTACATATCTCATTTTAAATTATAAAGGCATACCTATTAACAACTATTTTATTTAAAAGCATATTCAGTAGTAATCGGTAGTGCACAAACGATACTAATTCACAGTACCTATCTGTTCAAAATCTTTACCACCAGCTTTAATAAAAGCATTAATTATTCTTCTTTGAACACATTATGCAGTTTCTCCTCAGTTATATTTTGTATTTCATTTAATATAGGTGCTCCAGTTCATAAACGTCACACAAACGATTTTGAATTGAACGATCTGTAATATTCCATAGGTAGGTTTAACAAAATTAAGGTAAAATGATTGTTGCAGTACTGAAACTTTATAGGGGATGCATATTAGAAATGTTTTTAATACTTTATGGCTAGTTCGTAGTGACAAACCTAAAAAAAAAAGTTTTGAATTTCACTCCTCAGAGTCAGTCTTTGAAACACCGTTCATACCTGTTTGAGGTGCTGTTTTTTTACTAGTTTATTGGGAATTTTCACCATGTTAATTTGCACATCTTCAACAGCTTTTGTTATTACTGTGGGCCTTTTAGAGCTTTTTCTTTTTTTATAATTTTAAACAAGTATTTGTTTATGACGACAAAAAAGAATCACATTCCATTTATTCAACTGGAAAACGTTCCTCAAATTTTCGAATACAATTACGAATATAAAATAATTTTATTTCTTTGTAACATTACCTGAAATAAAATAAAGTATATAGTCATTAACTTTTACGAGTTACAGTAAATAAATTTGTACTTACCAACAAAAAAGAATTAAGCCACCAATTTTCTCTAAAAATAACTAATTGCTTTATTACTATTAAATGAAAAACGGAATAAAGGTGTTTATAAAATGTAAACAAACATAACATAAATATTGTCAGTCCCCAAATGAACGCCAGTGACATTTCTGACAGGACTGACAGTTCAGTTTAGTTCCTTTTACCTCAAATCAGGCCCTTTCGATGGGTTTTTGATGGTTATCAGATCACGTGGGTTTCGGGTATTGTTGAAGACCTGGTAGTATTGAAAATGAATAGTTTTGCACGGGCCAGGGGAGCTTTGGCAGCTCCGTAGATGCCAAAATATTTATTTTGGCAATTTGTGCCCATGGGGACTTTTGTTCAGGATGACAAAATCTACAACATATCAAAAATTCAGACAATTTGACAGAAACTCAATTTCCATAAGATTATTGCGGGGTCCTTTGGAGAATAAACCCATCATTCTGTAGGCAATAAGCTTTCTAACAAAAGTGGATATACTTAGAAATTGTCACAATGTAAAGGGTACAACCTTAAGAATTTCTGAAGTCTTAACTCTTGAAGAAAGAGAAGAGCAAAAAAGACTGGTCTCCTATCTGAAGAAAGCTAGAAAACACAATCAGAAAGCCCACCTAAAAGGAGGTAATCTTTATATCGAAAGTTAACCTTACAATTTAAAAGATCTGGAAAATTCTGACATATTCAATAATCTAAGGAAACAGTATAATATTACTCTGATCAATCAGTGTGAGGAACCCGAAGAATCGCAATATTCTCATGAAGAGTCTGAAGACGAAAGGGAAGAATAAAAATAGAAAGTGATAAAAAAACAGTTGAAAGACTTTCAAAAAGACTAGGTAGTGCATCAGCTGGCACTCTTAAATAAAATACAACTTCTAATGCCAACTTTGAACGTACTGTTTTTATTTTATGTGTGATTATAATTAGATTAATTTCCAATTTTAATAAATTTTAATTAATTTTATACATAAGTATATAAGTAATTTTAGATTCATAAGTTTTTAAAATGGATTTCTATATAAAACAATTTCAGATAGAGTAGATGATTTTATTTTGGAGGATGATAATAAATATAAAAATGTTTTAAGACTGTTTTCGCGATACACTATTTTAGTATTTACCTCATATCTTGCTTATTTATGTTCGGAACCATTTTATTTTTTAATGAGGTATTTAGAAGGAAAACCCTATCAATCTGTAGTTTTTAAATATTTTTATTACAGCCTGATTTTTTAAATAAAAAATTGGAACTAAAATTAAATTTTGTCAATTTGCAAAATCAATTTTTTAAAACCTACTAATTGTAGCAAATTTTTTTTCCTTACTTTTTCTATTTACAAGTTTTTGCTAAAATTAAAAACTAATTGGGTTTTGCGGTATGCCGTTTCTCAATAATATTTTTAATTGGAACCCGTAAAAACAATATCGCTCTCTCTCGTCTCCCTACCTCCTCTGCTGAATCATCTCAATTGGGGATGCCAAATACAAAGAGTCTAATTTGCCTTTTTGAGCGTGTTATATTAGTGTCGTTTGTTTTTATTGTTTTTTGGATTGTTGTATTGTACAAATACGGGAAAATGGAAGTTGAGTTATAAAAGAAAAAATCGTGCAGTTGCTAGTAAAAGGTAAGTGTTATTCGAACGTTGACTTTCGATCACACAGGTCATATATCGGACGGTTTCGGCGAAGACAGAACAATATAATAATATTAATTTTTTTATGGTATTGGCATTAGCTTGGTCGGAAAACGGTTAACAAATAATAGTAAATAGTGTAGAAGTCATAATTGCGCAATGTCATCAAATTAATTTCGAATCGATTATATTGAAGCAAATCTTAGGCAAGTAAGTCATTTAAAAGTTGTAATTCTGCATACGGACTTTAATTATATTTGAATACGACCCTGCTTAGTCAACCATTTAAGCCACGCCCAGTGGGGTCATTTTTTAATAAAACGTATCATATACAAAACAATTGCCTCATGGCATCTCCATTAGTATTATACCTCCATAATTTG